GAGGAATGGGAGAAACAGTTCACTTCTTGCCCTTAATGAGGGATCTAAGTGAGGATTCAAATAGTTGTAGCTGGTCAATGTATTGTGGTGATAAGAATTTGCCATATGGGCAATATCAGAACGGTTTCTCGATGAGACCTACAACGGATTCTTCTTACGCTGGATACGAGAGAGATTTTCTTAAACAAACAATGATTGAACACGAAGCCGTATTTAAGAATCAGGTATCTAACACGACGAGTCTTCGTGTTTTCTATCTTTACTCTATTGGTTTGGTCTACCAAAATTTGATTTGACCTTTTTCTTGTTTGTTGTAATTTATGTAGGTTTATGAACTTCACCGTTTGTATAGAACACAGAAGAACTTGATGGATCAAGTAAGGGGAAAGAGCTTTATTGAACAGATGAGCGAGTCTGAACGTACACCGGAAAGTGCTATTAAACGTGAGCTTCCTGGATTTCTCTTGGGAAACTCGATATGTGGTGAAGGAAGCAGCTCTCAAGCTTGTAATGTTCCTATGCAAAATGGGATTAGTTCAAAGGACGAGGAGGTGTTAGAAGTTAGACCTGTGAAGGTCAGGAGGAAAATGATTGATCTTCAACTCCCACCAGATGAGAATCTCGATACAGATGGTGAGAATACGTCTTGTCCTCCTTATGAGCAGTCAAAAGCAGGAAAAGAAGTTGGTGAAAAGCTCTTCCTTGAAAGAGGCAATGCTTCTTATCGGAATGGTTCTTCTGGGTCTTCTTTGGTTATGAAGAACCCAAATGGACTAACAGACTTGAACGAGCCAGTCCAATGCCAAGAATCAGTACCTGTTCCTTCTTCCAGGGATATATGTTCTCTTTATGGAAGAAACATTGCACATGTGCAAGGCCAGTGGTTGGAAAAAAGTACAAGTCAAAATGGATGGATGGTTCCAGAAGCAGGTGAGATTTTTTATTAAGTGGCGAGTTACATGTTCTTCACTTTCATTTCGTTTCTCTAACCATTGAATCAATATTAAAGTCAAGTGAAACTGTTTTATCCGTCTGCTCATGTTTTTATGATGGCAGTGCATGTCTTCTAGTCTCTGATGTTTTTTAATGGCCTGCTTGGTTGGTTATAGGGTATGGAAAAGGCACTCCAAGAGACAAGTTATGTCTTCCTTCTCATTCGGTTCAAGTTCTTTCTAACAGTGCATTTCAACCTCTGGGCTATCCTTCAACTGATCATAGGAAGTTATTGGGAGAAAGAGCATCTTTCGAATGGGATGCTCGTCAACGGAAGCCTGAAGTTTCCTATGACAGCTATGTGGAATCAAGTGTGGCATCAAATGCTCCAAGCTTGCAACATGGCTACCTCGCTGAATCTGTCAGACCTTGGAGCCATTGGATTTCGTCATGGGAGAACCGAAGTAGCAGCTCAGTGCAGAAATCCTTGCCACTTCAAACGAATCCTTTCTTGAATTTTAATACACAGGCAAGAGCAGATTCAACTTCTGAGATGAGAAGCCATGATTATCAAGGATTCTCTTCAGGGTCGAAGGAAACTACTGCCTTTCATTTTCCATCAGGAAACTTTAACCATCTTAACAACGGCCCACAAGGGGTTGTTACAAATGGTTCTTTGAGTGAGGTTTTGAAGCATCGGAGTCTTGAAAACCTTCAAGGACCAAAAAAGCAGGAGTGCTCTGCTGGGTTGCCCTGGATGAAACCTAAGCTCCTGAACAAAAATAAAATAACCAATGGCGGTTTGGATTTGAATGCCTCTGCAAATCAATTCATGGATGGAAGTGATGTGGGTGACGGCTCAAATTATGTATATCCTCACAACGGTTTGAGGTCTGTTTCATGTTCTAATGGCGCCAACTTGGGACATGTTGAAATGGCTGACTCAGAGAGTAGTAGAAAGATTCTTGGATTCCCGAAGTCTCAAAAGCGTTCTATTTGCGAGGAGGAGCACCCTTCTCTTATCCTTTCTTCTGTGTGTAGCACTGATCCACCCAGGGAAGTAAACACCTTGGTGAAGAGAAACCTCGATATCAACTTGCCATGTGAAGCCTCAGTTTCTGAAGACAAGGTACAAGGTAAAAAAGCTGCCACTTACGGGCACTACATTGACTTGAATTTATGTGCTAGCGAGGATGAAGATTCCGGGTTGTGTTCTAATTCAAGAGTGGAAAGAAAAGCAACTACTTTGATAGATTTGGAAGCTCCCCCCACTCTTGATAGTGATGAGGAAAGTGAGAAATTGCCAGAGAAGAGAGATGAAGAAAACTGTGGATCAGAGAAACGTGACTCTGTGGATGAACTCATCAAGGCAGCAGCCGAAGCTATAGTCACCTTATCACTGTCTCACCATGGCCGTGATACTGATGAAGCTGCTTCCTCTTCAACCGATGCAGTTGCTAAGGACCCGCTCTCTTGGTTTGTGAACACAATAGCTTCTTGTGGCAATGATTTGGAAAAACAGATTGATGCTTGTTTTGAAGCCAGAGATTGTGAAGGCTGCCGTGAAGAATGTTCTTCAGGGGAGTTTGATTACTTCGAGGCAATGACTCTGAACTTACCCCTGTCCAAAGAAGAAGACTACATGCCAACGCCTTTAGTCCCCGAACATCTGAAATTCGATGGGACGGGTCAAATGGGCATCACAGCGAACCGGCCAAGAAGAGGTCAAGCAAGACGAGGAAGACCAAGGCGGGATTTCCAAAGGGATATTCTCCCTGGGCTTGCTTCTCTGTCTAGGCTCGAAGTAACTGAAGATCTTCAAATGTTTGGGGGACTAATGAAAGCCACAGGTTACAATTGGAACTCAGGAGTGGCCCGAAGGAGCTCAAACCGGGGTGGGTCTAGCCGAGGAAGAAAGCGACTGGTCAGCAACATTAGCAGAGCTCCGGTATGCTCTTCTTTGGTGCAGCCAATGAACAACAGTGTACAAATGGTGGGACTCGAAGATAGGAGCCTTACAGGATGGGGAAACGCAACCAGAAGACCAAGGCGACAAAGATGCCCAGCAGGTACTCCCCCAACTGTGATATTAACATAAAGGTTTTCACGATATAAATCCGATTTTTCACAACTTGAGGAACATTATAGAGGGAAAAGAAAACCAGAGTAAGTAACATGGACAAAAACTGATTCAGCATTGAAGAAAACAGATCAATGTTTTTATTATTCTCAATCATCTCCCATGTTTGTGGGTGTTGATTGCCCTTTGTATATCTTGTCCTCTCTTAGAAGGGCCAAAGAAAGAAAAAAAAAACATGATTGTTTTATATTTAATTAGGCTGGTTGGTTATTACAAAATCTGCATCTCTGTTTTTCGATTGGCTCAAAAAGAATATATATTCCTACATGGCTCTAACTAACCAATGGCTGTTAGAATCTATGACATGTTTGTCATTCGTTAATCTGTAATAATCTGCTTCAAGAGTTAGATTCTGGAAATTCCCAAGAAATCTGTAGATTTCCTCTGTTCCGAAACGGTATTCTTCCCCAGCTCCAAATCTGAAAACTTTTTGATCGATCTCGATCGAGCTGTACCCAGGAACTTTCTTGAGATTCAAACTCCTCATAGCCGTTCTCATTCTCCTGAATTCTTCCCATTCACCTTCTTCAGCATGTATATTGGACAAGAGAGTGTAATATCCCGTATCGTCGGTAACAATATCCGAAACATCATTTTTTATGGCTTTAATGATGTCTATTCTCTGATGGATTTTGCACCCATTGACCAGAGAACCCCAAACGCTAGCATCAGCTAGGAAAGGCATCTCCTTGATGGTTCTATATGCTTCTTTGAGATCACCAGAACGGCTTAAAAGGTCGATGAAACAGGCAAAATGCTCTGAGTTTGGTGAGATGCCATAACTTTTCATCAAGTTGAAGTAGAATTTACCGTATTCGACAGAACCAGAATGACCACAAGCAGAGAGTACGTTCATGAAGACAACTTCGTTAGGTTTCGTTCCGGATTCCACCATTTGACCGAACGTAGATATGGTGGATCCTATCCGTCCATGCATTCCATAGGCGTTGATCATACTACTCCACGACACAATGCTCCTATTCGACATGGCCTTGAAAACTGTTTCAGCTGTGTCGAGATCTCCACATTTGGCATACATGTCGATTAGAGCTGTATCCGTGAAAAGATCCTTCAAACCAGAAAGAATGAGCTTGCAGTGAACCCATTTCCCTTTCTCCAGTGAACCTATACTTGAGCACGCTTGGATAACCGCCAAAAATGTAACTTCATTTGTCTCGAGACAGTTACGATACATATAGTCGAAGAGGTTAATCGCCTCTAAGGAGTTACCATTCTGAGAAAACCCGCAGAGCATTGAATTCCATGTCACGATGCTCCTATGTATGATTTGATCAAACACCGTACATGCTGAATCCACAAGTCCGCTTTTCGAGTACATGTCTATCATCGAGTTCTGCACAAATTCGTCTGAAACATCTGTCCTTATAACATGTCCGTGAATCTGCTTCCCTAGCTGGACTAAATCAATATTCTCACATGCTGAGATTGAGCTAGCCAAAGTGAATGAGTCCGGTCTTATTCGCTGTGTCACCATCTCTCTAAACAAGCACAATGCTTCAGTCACCATACCTTTGTGTGCATATAGAGATATAAGCGAGTTCCATGCCACAATATTTCTATCACCAACCACACGTAAAACTGTCTGAGAGTCGCTTAGTCTCCCACATTCAGCGTATAGCTCGACTAAGGCCGGAGAAAGGGACTCGTACTTCGGATCCAGCTCTCGTCTAACTGCAAAACCATGGACCGACTTGCCTTCTTTAATCAACCCTAACAATCCACAAGAGCTCAAAACGCTATAAAGAGTAACCAATTTCGGCTCAATTCCAGACTTTAACATCTCACTGAAACTTCTCAATGCCTTTTCAGAGAACCCGCCGCGATTATAACTAGAGATCATAGCTGTCCACGAAACAGAACTCTTCGTGACGATCATTTCAAAGATTCTCTCTGCGCTAAACAAGTCTCCGCACTTACTATACATTGCAAGCAGAGAATTGCAGAGTATTTCATCAAAATCAAGCATTTTCCTCATTATCTGGCCATGGACAGACCTTGCAATCCTCAAGCATCCAAGCTCAGCACATCCTTCAACAACGCTGATCATCGTCACAGCATCAGGCTCAACACCATCATCCACCATGCACTTAAATATCCTCAATGCTTCCACCACTTCACCATTCTCTAAACAGCTAGAAACAAGAGTACTCCAAGCCACAAGGTCTCTAACAGGCATTCCATCGAACACCTTCTCTGCATCACTTAAATTCCCCGTTTGACCATACATACACAACAGAGACGTCTCTATCACAGCGTCTTCGTCCACACCACTCTTGATAATCCTCCCGTGGACTTTCTTACCAGTACCCAGATTATCCTTCGAACCCGCACAAGCTCTCAAAACAGACGGAAACACGAACTTGCTGATCTGGGTCTTCTCCGAAACCAACCCGTGGTAAAGATCAATGGCCTTATCGAACAAGTGACACCAGACGTTGCATTTGATGAGAACGCCGTACATGAAGGAGTCAGGGTAAGGAAAAGCTTCGAAGACGAGCCTCGACGAGTCAGGAGAACCCATGAAAGCGTATGATTCAATGAGCTTCGTCACTGGAAGAGGGTCACGACGGAGACGGCCAGTGACGAGAAGGTGAGCATGAAGCTGGGTTACTAAACGTAAGTTGGAGCATGATCTAAACAGTGGCATGTACTGCGTCATCTTCAGCTCTAATCAAGAACATTTGACAGAAGATAGAGAAAAAAGAGGAATCTTTGAGGTTTATTAACAAGATTCAAAACATATAGATTACATTAAAAGGAAGGCTAAAGAGAAGGTTTTTTATTTTGCTCCCAGCTTCAACAAGACAAAAGGGTAGCTAAAATCTGAGACAAGCATGAAAGAATGAAGAGATATTGCACAAAAAAACATACAAATAACTGGATAAAGTAACAGTCTTGATTCATGGCCGTTGATAGACGTATTTGGTTCTTGGGTCAACGATTAGACCTTTTCCTCCGTTAACTTCAAGATCATGCCTGGAATTATTTACACAAACACCCAATAATTAACAACAAATCCATCACTGAAGAACACACTTTAGAGAGGAGAGGGAAGAGTAGTGGTAAACTTAACTGGAAAACAAAGTCTGGTATTGTCAGTTGCTCACGAGGAACATATTTGAACAGCTGCAAAAGTCGGTCCGCATATACAACTTTCTTCCAGACCTTAGCAAAAGACAGAGCAAATTAGACTTCTTTAGAATCACTTAAGTCTTGGGGAAAAGGCTGGGACTTTGATATAATTCAGAAGATTACCACATTATCCACGAACAATTGCATAGCTAAGACTGTAGCCTTCAAGTGGAAAGTTGGATGAAGAACATAGATTGCCTGGATCAAGTAGAAGAGATTATCAGGATTACGTCGAGGAACCTTCCCCAATGAGGTTGAGTAGGTGTGATTTCATACCTGAAGGTTACGCTGGTGTTTGCGACCAAGTATCTGTTGTAATCTCTTCATCCATCCCAAATCTGGTTGGCTGTTGTTTTATTTGCATGGCAAAATCAAACCCGTCAAGCAAAAATTGTCATTGAAGTTTATAAAGCACAAATATATCTTTTTCCAATAAACAAGACTAAGAAACAACTTACACTTGTAAAGATGCTGCAGAATGGAAATAGACAATCGAGTAAGGCTTTTGTATCACGGGTTCAAATTCCTGTAATTTGTACCAATTGCAGCATCGTCAGACACCAAATAAAGTCAAAGAAAATCAATACTGGTGTATTGCAGTTTGTTGGAGAACCATCGGGGTATGTGATTGCATGCTTACCTTTATAACATAAAGCACAAAACGCTCCAGATCAAGACATCGCAACAAAAAGTGAGCTCCTACAACAACCATTACGGGATGACCCTCGGTGTCAACACCACCACGGTAGCTAAAGAAAGAAAACAGAGAGGGCTTTGTCAATGTCGGTTTATCCATTAGTCATTGGCTAAAGGGCGTAAACAGTGAACTCATGCAAGGTAA